AGCGGGTTAGGTGAGGTCGTCAGTTGTCTGGTGAATCGTATGGAGCACCATACGCGTAGCGTCGCATCGACCACCGAATTGCCCGAGCGGATCCCAGTATATGTTGAGCTCCTGTGCCAGAGTCGGGATGGTATCTTTCCCTGGGTTTGGTGAATTTCCATTTGTACCCATTGTTTCGTACTCTGGTTGGCGTGCCAGTCTACCAGCCATTGCAGATGGGTGGCGTGGTAGTACGTGAGCAGTGAGGGGAGTCCAGCGCCACCGTCATTCTTGGGTCTTTCCCTGCGGATCCGGGTGGGCTTGTGTTTCCAGACAAATTTTCTGATCGCTGTTGTCAGCGATGGGAAATATGTTTACGATAGTGGGGTCGGGATGGTTTGGAACAGGTACAGGAGGCGGGGTAGCGCGTTCATCTTGACCGCACTAAGGTCGCTCTGCAACGTTGTCAGGATCGGGAGGTAGTTCATTCGGTATAGGAGTGTGAGATTGGCTGGCAGCCAGACTCCGAGATATCGGAGTTTGTCCTCACAGTGTTTGAATGGGAATTGTGAGATGAGTTGATGTAGTTGTTTGGGGGCTCTAGTCACCGACATAGCTTCTGATTTGCTTAAGTTGAGTTTTATGATAGATACCGGATTGTATTTCCGGAAGGCTTCTAGGAGGTTTGGAATGGAGGTACGCGGCTGTTCTATGAAAAATAGCATATCGTCCACGTAAGCGGCCACTCGATTTTCAACCTCCCCAATGTGGTGCCCCACGATTCCCCCGTCCTGTCTGACCACCTCCAGAAAGGGCTCGAGAGAGAGAGGGCAAACAGGAGGGGGGATAGGGGTATCCCTGTCTGGTGCCGTTACAGATGGGGAAAGGTTTCGTTAGGGCTCCGTTGATGCGTATGCATGCTGTTGGGGTGGTATATAGCGCCATGACCCAGGCCCGCAGGATAGGTCCAAAGCCCATGTGCTGTAGGGTTTCTGCTAGGTAAGTCCAGTCTACTCGGTCGAAAGCCTTTTCGGCGTCAGTGGATAAGAGTACTACTTCCCTCCCGGCATGCTTCGCATGGTGGATGATATTCAGGGCCCTTATGGTGTTGTCTCTTGCTTCACGGCCCGGTATGAACCCCACCTGGTCGGGGTGGACCAAGTCTGGGAGGATCCACATCAGCCGGAGAGCTAGTGCCTTCGCGAAGAGCTTTAAGTCCGCGTTCAGAAGCAAGATTGGTCGGTAGCTTGAACAGCAGGCCGGGTCCTTACCTTCCTTGGGAATGACCGTCACTGTCGCAGTGAGAGTGTCGGAGGGGAACTGACTACCCGTGCTTATCGAGTTGAGCCCTGTGAGGATTCTTGGTAGCAGTATGGTTATGTATGTTAGCGGGAGTCCGTCGGGGCCTGGGGCCTTGTGGGGTTTGGATTGTTTCAGGGCTGCTGCCAATTCCTCGAGCGTCAGGGGTTGTTCCAGTTCAGTCGCTGTCTCGGTGGGTATCGTGCGGGCTACGTGTTGGTCCAGGTAGTCCGTGCTGCGTAATAGGTGTCGTGGGGCTGCTGCACCTCTCCTGTCTCGCGTTTGATCGTATAGGTCGGTGTAGTAGTCACGAAAGGCGTCTTGGATACCCTCCGGGAGCCTAGTGACGTCTTGATTCCTGGTTTTCATCTTGTGGATGTGTTGCCTCTTCCTTTTTCCTTCAGCATTCGGGCCAGCAAGCGCCCGCTTTTGTTCGAGTGTTCGGAATAGAATCTGGCTGACTTCCTAAAGGTGAGGTGGAGCCCTTTGGAGAGGATTTCACTGAGCTCTCTACATGCCTCCACGAGTTGTAGATATGTAGTGTCGTCTAACGTGCATTTGTGGTCCTGTTCCAGTGTAGCTATGCGTTTCGTCAGTTCGGTCATGTGTCGTGTCCTGTCTCTTTTGCGTTGGGTGCATTCTGCGATAAAGTGTCCGCGTATGACGCATTTGTGTGCCTCCCATAGAATCAGCGGGTTCATGTCGGGTGTGTCATTTGTGTCAAAGAAATGTCTGAGTGTTTGGGCGGCTTTGTTGGTGAACCCTACGTCATTTAGTAGGCTTTCATTTAGTTTCCAGTGTCGCTCACCCGGTTTGCAAAGTGGGGAGCTTGTAGTGGCATAAACCGGGCATGGTCTGTGTGGTCAATGAGTCCAATGTCCGAGTCCTGTAGAATTGTCAGGTATTCATGAGCTATGAAGATATAGTCTATGCGACTATAGAGTTTGTGTACGGCTGAGTAATTGGTGTAGTCCCGTCTGTCCGGGTGTATCGCCCTCCAGCAGTCTACCAAGCCCAGTCAGTTTAACGTCCGGAGTGTTGCTCGGATGCAATGTGTGGGGATCGTGCTGGTGCCTCTTGATGAGTCGAGGCATGGGTCTAGGGGTAAGTTAAGGTCCCCAGCCACTATAAGTAGTCCCTCTCTGAATCTCTCTAGCTTGGTCATGGTCTTACTCAGGTACGCGTGTTGTTTCTTGTTAGGACTGTATAGGGATGCAAAAGTATAAGTATGGTCCACTCTGGTGCCTTTGAGGAATAGAAATCGTCCTCCTGGGTCTGATAGCTGTGCTGTGCAGTGGAACAGGACTATATGGGAGAAAAGTATCGCTACTCCTGCTTTCTTCGAGTCTGGGTGGTTTGAGTAGTAGGCTAGGGGGAAGCGACTATTCCCTAGTTTTGGTGCCCCTGCGCCCCTGAAGTGCATCTCCTGCAGGAACGCTATGCTTACTTTCTCCGACCATAGCCTCCGGAGGAGGTGAGCCTTCTTTTGTGGGGAGTTCAGCTCTCGGACATTATTGGTCCAGTACCCGATGCCCGCCGGTTTTTTTGTTCTGCTGGAGGAGGGTTGTCTAGTCCAGTGAACCCCGGATCCGATGCGTGGGGATATAGAGAGGTCTCTCGTCACTATATTGTAGGTACTGTTGTGTGTGTCCGTGCCTCTGACTCCAGTGGCTCCCAACCCGCGGGGTGTGTCTGTGTTTGCTGCTTGTGTGGTTCTAGGCGGGGTTAGTCATGGGTGTGTTGTGCGGGTCCGTTACGTTCGGGTGGGTATGTCTGCCCGCGAGGGATCGGTATTTCTTTCTTTATGGCCAGTTCAGAAGCGGGGGGGGGAGGCTGGCATGTCATCAGTGTCCCTTCCGTTCTGTCTGTGACAGCCCTTTCCTGTGTCTGACTTGGCCTGTTCAGTGTGTGTCCTCACGGTTTCAGCTGTGTTTGTGCGTGAGGGTTGACTGTTTCCTCTGTTACCGTTATATATCATGAACAGTAGCGTTGGGTGATGCCTGTTAGCTATAAGTTTGTTGGGCCTAGGTTTGGGGCATCGCTGTCTTTGTGTTCCCAGCCAGCTAGGGGCTACAGCCTGAGATCGCAAGTTGCGGTGGTCGCGGGGTTCCTCCCATGGGTATGTATGGGCTAGCGTTAGTTTCGTACACCTGTAAACAGTAGCTTTGTAAGGAACATGATAAATAAACAAACATTTAACATTCCCCAGACCGTCCCCACCCCCGCCCGCCGGACGCCACGACCGCCTGGCACCCCTCCGTTCGTGGCAGCGGCCGAGTGGGCCCGGCTGTGGCGGGTGCGGAGAGGGCCAGACAACTACAACTTGGGTGCATCTTATGCAGAGTCATTGGGTCAAACTTATGCAGTAGAGCATGTGGCAAAACCTTGGACCGATGCTTTCACAGTCTCCCGGTCACCGCTTCCCTTTGCCTCAGGCCCGCTTGTGATCGCGGTCTGGTGGCCATGGCTGCGGTGGGCATGAGATCCCTCTTCCCAATCCCGCCACCCAAGGCCGTCTTCCCTCCGGTTTCCTGTAGTTGTTGTTATACCCCTTTTTCCTTTTCCACCCTTCCTTCACCCTGCCACCCATAGTCCAGTGTAACCTCGTTGTCACAGCCCTTATGTCAGGGGATGGTGATCCGGCCCTGTGGGTGTCAGTAGGGGCTGCATGCTCTCCCCCGATCGGCCGTCTGTTGCTTCCCGGTACCCCACCCCAATGCTTGGAATGATTCCCACCCCAGCCTGCTTTCTATGCATTTGTATAGTCCGTGGGCCCAGCGTACCTAGTCCCAATCCGGTCCCAGAGTCCTATAAGCTACCTTCTGCATGCTGTCTGTGAGGGGGTTGTGTGTGTGTAATGAAGGTGCATACCCCCTGAGCGGTGTATCTCCTGGATGGGTCAGGTGTCCGTGTGCTGGGTCAGTGTTCGGTCAGGTGAGCAGGGGGGTTAGCGGTCGTTCCTATTCCTCCGGTCCGACTGGGCCGCCTCTGAGTCGTTGTGCCCTGGGGTCCTGGCTCCCGTGGAGGTTGCGGTTTGGTTCGTTGGGGCCTGTAGCTTGTGCCGGTGGGCCCTCGAATATCCAGTTCGGGATGGTGACATGTGGTAGGCCGGTCGCCCGTAGGAAATGCGGAATATCGTTGGGCCAACGGATGATATGCCAGTGGTTTTCTACCTTTGCCTGCAGGCTGAACAGGTATCCCCATTTGTATAGAATTATTTTTTCTTGTAGAAGGCGGGTGATCGGTTTCAGGGCCCAGCGGGCGTCCAGGGTAAGTGTGGATAGGTCCTGGTACAGCGAGACCCGTGTGTCCATGAACGGGATGTCTTGTTGTGCCCTGGCTGCCCTCATGATGGATTCTTTGAGCTGGAAAGAGAGTAGGCAGCAGATTACATCTCTGGGCAGACCATCTCGTCTGGGGGTGCGCAGGGCTCGGTGGGCTCTCTCAATGCCAAAGTCAGGCGGTGCCTCGTCCCTTAAAAGTTGGGAGAACAGGCTCGTGAGGATTTCGTGGGGGTTTTCCCCTTCTGCTTCTGGGATGCCTCGGACCCGAATGTTGTTTTGGCGGCCCCTGTTGTCGAGGTCTTCTACCTGTCTCCTGAGGTCGAGAATGATATTGCCCTGCCTGGTGGCTGCCAGGTCTGCCGCTTGGCGGTGCTGCTCTGCTTGCATGCGGTCAACTTCCAGTTCGTCTACCCGGTGTTCCAGGGCCGTGAGGTCGCTTCATACCGCTGCTATTTCCTCTCTTATGACTGACCGGAGTTCTGCTACCATCTCCGTTTTATCTTTGCGGGTGAGCATGGTCGCCGATATGGCTGCCAGGTCCACAGAAATTTGGGTTAGTGCGTCCATGTCCTGGGGGTCCGGCGTCGATTCTGCCATGCTTGCAGTACCTGGGGAGGCAGGCGCCATATTGTCGCGGTCCCGTGTGCCTTGTAGGCCTCGAGGTGTGGAGAGGTATTCATCCATGGGGCCGGGTTGCTGTTGGGGCTGTGCCGCTGGTGCCGGTCCTGGGGTGGCTGGGCGCTTAGTTTTCCCCATTTTTTCGTTGATTGCCGCTGTGTGGTTGGGCTTTTGCGGGTTGGGGCCTAGGAGCTGGAGTCTCGTGCGTCCTACTCCATGTGAGTTCAAGCCACACCCCCCCCCCTCTTTTGTTTTTAATCTAACTAATCCTTGTTTTGCTTTCCTTTTCTCATTTATGTATCTAAAAATGTGTTGTCCCCTTTTTTAATGACTGTGCTATTTTCTCTTCTGTGTGTGATTTGGAGCTAGCGATGTCCCGAACTGTTCGCCGAACTGTTCGCCACGGTTCACCGTGAACGGTTCGCGCGGACTCCAGTCAGCTGACACATTCCAGCCAATCAGCAGCAGACCCTCCCTCCCAGACCCTCCCACCTCCTGGACAACTCACTAAGAATGCAGCTTCAAAATGGATGCTGTCCAGGAGGTGGAAGGGTCTGGGAGGGAGGGTCTGCTGCTGATTGGCTGGAATGTGTCAGCTGACTGGAGTCCATGGTGAATCGTTCGAGGCGAACCGTGGTGAACAGTTCGCGAACCGTTCGGCGAACAGTTCGGGACATCACTATTTGGAAGCTCTTATAACTTGCTTAGCCTCTTTCTACCTAATCTTATAGATCTGTCTATCTTCCTCACTTTTTTTTTAATAATTACTAATTACTAAATGCCAACTTTTTGTTTCTTACTATTTTGGAGTACCACAGTGGTTTCTTAAATGTTTTGCTTTTACTGACAAGCCTAATGCAATTTTCTGTTGCCTTCAGCAGTGCAAGTTTTAAATAATCCCATTTCTCTTGGACTCCATTTAAACTGCCCCAGTCTGATAATGACTACTTTACAAATATTCTAATTTGAGAAAAGTCTGTTTTTCTAAAGTCTAAAACTTTTGTTTTTGAGTGGTGTGACTCAGTCAGTCACTTATATTAAACCACACTGACTGATGATCACTGTATTATAAACTTTCACCTACAGTAATATCTGATACCAAGTCTCCATTTGTTAACACTAAATCTAGTATGGCCTCTTTACGAGTTGGCTTCTCAATGACTTGTTTTACAGACAATCCCAGTAGGGCGTTTAGAATATGTGTGCTCCTGGCACAAGCAGCTATTTTGGTTTTCCAGTTCACATCAGGAAGATTAAAGTCACACATGATGATAACTTCCCCCTTTGTTGTCATTTTAGCTATTTCCTCAACTAATAGATTATCTAACTCTTCTATTTGTCCTGGGGGCCTATAAATCACACCTACACGAGTTACTGTGTGATTACCAAATTATAACATTACCCAAACGAACTCTATGTTCGCCTCACTAAATATAATTAGGCTAGATTTTATGCTATCCTTGAAATACTGGGCCACACCTCCCCCTTTCTTGCCTTCCCTATCTTTCCTATATAAAGAGTACCCTGGTATTGCTATGTCCCAGTCATTTTTCTCATTATACCATGTCTCAGTAACAGCAACTAAATCTACATTATCAGTTGCCATTATTGCCACAAGTTCATGGATCATTTTTTATCACACTCGCTACAGGCACCTTCTGTCCTTGTTTTGGGGGGCAATTGGATTGATGTTTTATTACCCTTTTGCCTCATTATGCATGTAATTCTAAATAGTTTATTTAATAGTGGTAACTTCCAATAACTTAAAAAAATTCCATCAATAATGGCAATCAAGGGGCAGGGCCTAGCATTGAATATGGCTGGATGTGTTTTTCCACAGCTCCTCTGTGTTTTAGCTGAAATAAGTGTTTAATAGTCTTGATTTAAGCAAAAAACAGTTATGGATTGGCTGCAGGATGACTTCTTCATAACCTAAGCTTGCTAAACCCGACTGGTAGGTCAGATTCTTACCTTGCCCTGTCTTGCAGCCAAGCAAGAATAGCTCTGGATGCGCACAATACTGAAGCCTATACGAATCCCTGTTACCCTCCCCCTTGGACCGGTGGGGGTTATTCTGGTCTTTGCTGGGGAAGTCTGTCCCTCTGCCCTACCTGCCTCAACCTTGGTGGTTCAAAGGTCTCGTGGTGTGCTTAAGAAGGTGGTTGCACTGGAGCTCTTGATCTGATAAGCAGACCTTCTCTGCCTGATTTGGCGCTCTGTGTGAGCAATTTTGCTTATGGCTATTACCCAGTGGCATTATCGTTATTTTAGCTAAGCATGTTAACCTCTTCAGGCAATATTCTAGCAATCATTGCAAGAAGGTACATCCTTTGGTCATAACATGTGGATGTGGAAGGATAGCGTCAATCATCAGAATTATGCCAGGAATGGCCCTGATCTTTTATGTTTACTGCCTTTCCCTTTCATGAAACTGACTTGGCCACAGATTGTTGAGCTCATCATTGCCACCCTCATTATTTCCACCCTTGAATCACCTTCATTTTTGTAACCCAGAGCCTGTTCTGCTTAACAATTCTTCCAAGATATTTCACCTTTAGTAATGCATTATACTAATGCATTGCCTTTGTCTTTTCAGAACATTATGAACAAAATGTGGTACCACTTTTCCAAAGAGAAACATATAATGTTGCTCCATCTGACACCATAATATTTCTCTAAGATTTTCTTTTGTCATTTTTTTGTTTTGACTATCTTGTTTGTTATATTTGCTATTCTTAGGATAATATCTCATGTTGCATTCTTTGTACTCCTCAACAGTCAAAATATATACTTTGTTGAACTGTGCTGTCCTGCTTGAATAGACATTGTGTGTGAAAATTCCATTCATGTTTCAAGCTCTTTTAATTACTGATTATCATAAATTTGTAACATCATTCAGGAAAAATGCAAGCTTGTAAAAAATTGGCTCATATTCGATGTGATTCCTAATCACACAGATGGCCCTGTAATGAGATTAAAAAAAAATGCACAGATACATAAAGTATGGTTATAACAGATAAAGAAAAAAAAACACATTTAATTGGCCTGTGATTTAAGATTTAATTCATTGTAACAGGTTGCAGTTCTGTAGACTGCTGAGTTAGACTAGGGTACACCATGTTTTAAGCAATGATGACTACATAAGAATTTTTTATCAGCTAAATAACTATTATTTCGATCTCATATCAATGGCTTGATTTTAATATAATTTAAATCATGCATGTATATCTATTGAATATTATTATGAGCACCTTGATATTTACCTATAATAGTGAATATTTCATATAATTTCATAATTTCAAGCATCTCTGATATTCTCTGCCAGGCTTGGGTCCAAAATGATTTCAATAAAACAGAAGGGAAATTGAATTTTGCATTTAACCTACCAGGATTTTTCACCCTTCTAAGAAGGTATGTATTCCTCATTCTCAGGTCCTCTACCAGAGGACTGTGAGACTGAAGGTTCTGCAGTATCATGGCTGTTCCTAGAACTTCACTATTCTGGACAGCGATCTTAGATCTCTATCTCATATCTTGCACCTCTATCTCTCATCTCTCTATCTCATGATATGAGATACATTTAGCTGCTGATGAGTTGTAACCTTGTCAAAGTGTTCAGAACCCCACCATAACAATGCCTGTTGATAGTATTTTCACCATTACTGGATTGGTGAAAAATGGACCCATATCTTATGTTAGGCAATCAACTTTTGGATGTACTGGCTATATAACTGAGCTCTGCATATAATACTAGGTTTTATATTTCTAACAGCAGAGTCTGAGAATGGAGCAGTAGCAAGTCTAAGAAGGAGTGGGGAGGCAGAGTATGAGGGGATCAAGAAATCAGATCCATAAAGGGTGGATTTTGCTGATTGGCTTGGGGTGGGCCAGGTGTGAATGATTATTGAGTTTTGCTTTGGACTTAAGTCTTAGGAATTTTTGGTATTCCAACCTTCCTCGACCTTCAAGATCTCCATATAGTTTCTAGAGGATTTGACTTAAAGTGGCAAACCATTATGTTGATGTGAACTTTTTATACCTTTTCCCATAAAAATGGGAGGGAATTTCCATAGACATTCGAATATATTAGCATTGAATGATACATTTTCTGAATTGGACTGGCCCATTTTAAATTGAAATCAAAGGATAAAATAGGCACTGTTTAGAAAATTAAGAACTCCTTTAATAAAAGTGATGGGTGGGAAAGTTTTTTTGGCCCTATTTACCTCCTGAGGTTGCACATTTCCATAGTCCTAGCTGTGTTTCCAGGTCAAAGGAAGTTCTTATGTATAAATAAGGGAAGTGGACTGTGTTATCATATGAGTCATCAGTCATAATGTCAAATTTGTTGTGTGCCTCTTGCAAAGGTCGAAGGGCACAGGTTTTCTCTATGCATGTCTGCAATTGTTTTTAATGCAATGGCTGTAGCAAAGTTGGACACCACATCATAAGGCTTGCCATGCCTCACTTACCTGATCTATAGGATGCCCTGCCATGCCTCACTTACCTGATCTGTAGGCTGCCCCCCCATGCCTCACTTACCTGATCTGTTGGCTGCTTCTGCATGCTGGGAGCAGCTGGCTACACTCTGTGCTGCTCCCCTGCAGATTCCGTCATGAGAAAGAAGCAGGGATAAGATGTAGCTTCCTATCCCTGCCTTTCTCCATACACACCTACTGGCCGGCGCCGGTATTGCACTGTACTTTCAATCTCACATGAAAAATAGTGGAACAAGTGAAAAATCCAGGGGGCGGAAATATGCTGAAATATGCTAGCAAGTCTAGGAATTGCTATTCTAATATTTGATGGAAAGAGCAGCAAAATACTGAGCTTCTCCTGCCCTTAGGAACCCTCTAAAATGCCCCCCCACCCCCCATGGAATCCATGGTTCTAAGCCCAATATGAAAAACAATCGAGAAATTGGGTGGCCCTGCCTACTTACCCTCCTAAAATGGTATAAAGGGGAATTAAGACTGAGGACCATGATGCAGGTCCCTGGAGACAAGTATTGCACCCTGAGCAAATTACTAAATTTTCTTTCACAAAATGAAAACAAAACATTGCTTCAGGAATTCAAGAAAAGAAATGCAATCAAATGTATTATTTGTATCAAAGCTCACAATGAAATTGTCACATTC